ACATATGTAGTACGGTCGTTAACATAATAAGAATTGCTAATTGTAGGCAAGCCACTAAACGTAAGATTTTCGATTCAAACTTTTATTAACATGAATTAAACCAACAATTGATCAGGTTGAATTGGAAGATTAACAATATGTATCAATTAGATGAATCAATAATCAAAATATCAATCAAGATTCATTATATAAACATGGATTCCCAAACCCTAAATATAAAACTACTCAAGCATGAAATAAATAATTAAACCTAGATCTAATAAAGAAAGCATAATTGAAAGCGATAAATAGATCGCGAAATATCTCAATAAATTGATATAATAAACCCAAGAATCAGAAGAATCCATGGACATGCCATGAGAAACTAAATTCAAGTGAAAACTACAATGAACGTAAAATAATAAAAGGCATAAGGGAAAAATAATAATCCTTGAGTATTTATATTATTCCTAATCCTAAATAATATAGGAAAATAAAAGTAGTAAAAGATAGACGTTTAATGATTGGTCGAATTAAAGAGTTGTAGTCCACATAGGATTCCTCATCGTATGCGCGCACACCCCACCAATCGGGCGATGGGTGGGCGATGGTCGGACGAGCTGTAAGGGGGGGTTCGATCAGCGGGCGCTGGTTTTCCATCGCCCAAACCAGTAGCTACGTCCCTAACGCACAACACGACCATCGCCCAATGGCAGGGCGATGGGTTGGCAGCTTCGCAGGGTCGACTTTGGAGGGCTATAACTCAAGATCTAAGAATTGTATAGAGGCGTGCAACCTATTATTGGAAATCTCTTCAATTCTAGTTTCTAGCCCAACTTGAATCATCTTTATCCGATATGTAGAACACAAATTATGATCAAAAGAGTGGACAAAAGTCAGTTTTTCTGCTTCGTAAAACATCGCTTAACTTCATTCTTAACTCACAATCGTTCCCAAAAGGTGCATAGCAACCTTGATGGATGCTATTTTTATTATTCGTGCATAAAATCCTCAAAATCCACATCCATGAACATATACTCTTTAGTCCAAATATCATTCGAATCAACTCTAAACACTTCGAAAGCATCCAAATTATTATAAAATACCTGAAACTAGGGGTGGCAAACGGATCAGGTCGGGTCGGGTTCGTGTTCGGGTCACCTAGTTTCGGGTCAGGTGATTCCCAACCCTAACCTGATCCATTTAAGTTTTCGGGTTGAAAATCCCAACCCGAATGACCTGATTTGACCTGTTTTTTTTTTTTGGGTTTATGTTCGATTTTTTTTAACATATTATACACAACATTCCTTGAATTCTTCAGAATCTATCAAACATAAAACCTAGAAAAAAAATTCAAACAAAAAACCTAGAAAACAATACAAAAAAATTGCAAAAAAAAAAAAAAAAAAAAAATCACAAAAAAATATGTGAAAAAATCAAAACAACTAGATGATGAAGAATAGGCAATTATCACTAACAAAATTTATATTCTTACATTATAATTTCATCAAAAAATAATTATAATCAGAAATTTGAGAAAAATAAAACTAGATTTACAATCTAACCTAAATTTAAACTAGATCTAAAGTACAAAAAACCTCAACAATAGACGATGACAGTGACAGTGGTCGGTTGGGCTTGCTGTGACAGTGACGGTGGCTAGCTTACTCACGTGACATTGCTGACTTGCTCGCATGAAGAGAGAGAAAGAGGAGCTTTCCGCATGAATTAAGAAAGGATTATTCGAATATAAAGAACAAAATCACAAAAATCAGAGAAGAGAAGTTCAAATTCGAATTTGCTTGATGAAATGAAGCTTTTCGGATGAAGATAGAGAAGGAGAAGAGAATGGATGAAGAGAGATACAGAAGGAGAAGATAACGGATGAAGAGAGAGAAAGAGAGAGAAAATGTGAAAACGACTGACTGGTTGAGAAAGTGAGATTATGAGAAGGCTGAGATGAGAGAGTGAGAGTGAGTTAGAGTTTCTATTTAAAGTTTTGGGCTTGGGGTTTGGGGCTTTGGGCTGGTAGTAGTCTTAATTTTTTTTTTTTTTTAATTTTTTTTAAAGACTTTTTTTAAGGTCGGGTTTGGGTTGACCCGACCTGATTTTGACCCGAAAATATTTTCGGGTTAAGTGGGTCATTTTGGGTTGAAATTTTCAACCTTAACCTAACCCATTTAATTTCGGGTCGGGTTCGTGTCAACTCATTTAAGTTTTCGGGTCGAAAATCTCAACCCAAACCCGCTATTTTCGGGTCGGGTCAGTTTTTGCCAGTCCTACCTGCGACGTTAAGAAAACACAAACGAAGTGTAATAGAGCACAAAATGGACAATAAATGCAAATATGACATAAAAAGCGACTAAAAGACCTAAAAAGTAACTATAAAAGTAGCATAAACATGCCTATAAATCCTATATAAATATGATTCATCAAAACACTACACCTTTGATTAATACTAGCACACCTCGTGAGGAAAACACTGAAAATTGTAATTGTGCATGTTTTCACAATAGATGTGCAAAATCAATTTTTGAAGTGATCATTTTCTATTTCATTTTTTTTTGGAGTATTACACTATATTTCAATAGCAATGAAGAATAAGAGGAGCATGGGAAGTATAAAATTAAAGAAGGGAAATTAAAGGAAATGAAGGGGATGGGGATAGAACTTCCAGATTCATCAAATTTTCAAATGTAGGAAGGATTTGATTTATTATAGAAGAAGGAGAATATATATTTTAATTTCTCTATCTAATTCCCTCTTTCCATACGTTATCCAACTAAGGGGTGGCAACTCTCCAGCCTTCATTCCTTTTTCTTCTCTTCCTTTAAATCTTTTCAATTTATTCTCTATGTCCAAACATAATGTTAATATATTAGTAATATAGGGCCTTAAATTCACCTTAATGTGAGATTCAAGATATTAATTGAGATCATATTAAAATATCTTAGTCATAGATTTTCACTAAAAATTATATAAAAAGAAATAAGACAGACATCGAGGATAGATTTTTATATGTGGCTGGTCACACCGTGTGGCAAGGGTTACTTGAGTTTTTTCGGTTAGGGGTTACTTGAAGAGTTCGGTCAGGGGTCACTCGAGAGGTTACTCGGTCAGGGGTTACTTGATGGGTATGGTCAGAGGTTACTTGGTCAGGGGTTACTTGAGGATTTACTCGATAGGGATTACTCGAGTTATTCGGTCAGGGATTACTCGACTAGGGGTTACTGAAAAATCCCCCGACATAGAGTTAGACTGTACTGTACATTTAAACTCTAATATATATATATATATATATATATATATATATATATATGTATATATGCTTGTATCAATTGTATAAACTTTTTTTTTTCTTTTTGAAATAATCAATTCATTAATATCAATTGTATAAACTACTTCCCTCTATTTCTTTTTACTTTCAACACTTTGAATTTAGCGTTATTCACATATGAGTACTTTGACTATCTTTAATGATTTATAGTTAAGAAAAAAATATACTCATTGAGGTTTTGTTAGATTCACCTTGATAGCTTTTGTAATACAAAGTATTAATTTTTTTTTTACCCATCGATAATACTCCCTCGGTTTAATTTTGACCGGCACATTTACCAATGTGAAGCTTTGACCAATTATACCAATAATTATTAATAGATATATAAATTATAAAAAGTTGATATTCAGAAACTATACATCGAGATGATTATAATATGTACCCATATGTCTACTATTTTTAATCTTATGTATAAAGCACCAATGAAGGTCAAAGAGGTGTATGTGAAAACGTCAAACTGGAACATTACTTTGAAACAAATGGAATAATAAGTAATAAATTTACTGATGTCAAAAAAAGTAAAAAAAAATCCATTGACAAGCATAATATGGAAAGTATGATGATTTCAAGTAGAAAAATAACACAGTGGAAGTACTCCCGTTGTTTTTTGTAAGTGACTCATCACTTTGACTTTTGTACTATATATTTACATGCATTTACAGATATACCGTTTTAATCAATATTTGTACTTTATATATAAAATTAAATATAGTTATGTAGGTATTTATTAAAATATATAGTTTCAATATATCGTGTTAATCAAAGTTTCACATTGACATATATGCCAATTACATACAGTGGCGCACTAAAAAACAGAGGGAGGGTTATTTATTATCTTTAGCGGATACATTATATGCATGAACATGCAGGAGTAGTATTTAGCTTTAGCGCATGCATGTCAGCATGCAAGGAGTATTTTATACTGGCGCATGCGACATGCAGGAGTAGTATCAAAGTCCCGCTTTGTGCTCCATTTGCCCACTGTTTTATACTATCAATTAATTACAGTAACTTCCAAGTTCAAACATAACTTAGCCTTTGATTTCAAATATATATATATGCTTATAAACGTGTAAAAAAGTGAGGGAAATCGGACATAGTGGACTCCGCTTTATTTAGTTTAGTAAAGTAATAAAGACACTACAACCTTCTATTTGTTCAGTCCTTAAGATTCAAAACACATCTAAAAACATATATATCTATAACGTGAAAGGAGCACAAGATCGAAATATAATGATCAACAAAATTAAAAGGAATGGATATTCGATATCCCTTTAGAGTTTAGACCAAATTAAATTGTTTGCCATGCTACAGTGCCAACACTTCAAAAATGGTGATGTATGGATGATTTCTCAAGCGAGTGAAGCTTAAATGTACACGTATTCGAAACGCAATGAGGTATTGTAACGGAATACATCAAACTGATGTCCTGTACTACTATTCGTCTAAGAGTGTAATAGGATCATCTCTATTGATGTTGTGGCACGTGTAGCTTATGAGGATCCGCAACTCAAATCATCTTCTGTTCACATGGCACATCGACACATGTTTATCGCAATTTTTTTTTTTTTTTTTTTTTCTATTATTCTATCACTTCGTATTAGGAATGTACCATATTTTATGAGCTGTTCAAAAAAAAAAAAAAGAGAAGAAATAATTAAGAATTTAAGAAGAGTGACAAATAAAATGCAAATATTACGATAAATTCAAAATCGAACATACAATACTTAAAGTACGGATTAAGTATATTTTTTTTTTACTAAAGTCGTCTGGAGTTCTAAATTACATTCAAATGAGAAAGGTCTAAATGAGACACCCAAAAGCAACGCCGCTACTAGAATGACACGACTTGGTTAGCCAGCTTATAGGTTCAATTGGCATCTAACTACACTACATGTCAAAACAATTAAATACATACTCGGATATACGAGTATAATACGACCATGCAACATAAAATATTTCCCCCTATATAATCCCCCTTTAATCCATAACTTCAAAATTACACCTTATTCTTGTAGTAGTATCTCATTCTTCAAAGAGCCATGCATGTTACCACCCAATTCCTTAGTAATACTACTACTACTATTACACCAAAAAACAAAACAAATCTACCATTTCATAATCCTCACAATTCTTCATCACCTTCAAAAGTTACTTATTGTAACATCCTAATAAACCCCTCCAAATACACTACCAAGATTATTTCTCCTTCTACATTTGATCCCATTCCTCCGCAGCGGCCGTCACAGACGATGTTGCCGCCGCATTGCCAACCTACCCTTAACCCGCTCCAAAGGCTGGCAGCATCGGCCTTGAACAAAATAGAGAAATCACTTGTCCTAGACCAAGAAAAAAAACACCCTTTGCCTAAAACGGTCGACCCGGAAATTCAATTATCGGGTAATTATGCACCGGTTCAGGAACATCCGGTTCAGATCGGTTTAGAAATAATGGGTGAAATTCCATCCGGTTTAAAAGGAGTTTATGTGAGGAATGGAGCTAATCCTATGCTCCCACCATCAGGTGCTCATCACTTGTTCGACGGCGATGGAATGATCCACGCCGTCAAACTTGGACCAGGAAACCAAGCAGCTTATTGCTGCCGGTTCACTCAAACGAACCGGTTGGTTCAAGAATATGTGGCCGGGAGAAATTTATTTCCTAAACCGATTGGCGAGTTACACGGTCGGACCGGATTGGTCCGGCTCGGTTTATTTTATGCACGTGGGGGTCTTGGTTTAGTTGACCCGGCACGTGGAGTTGGAGTGGCTAATGCTGGTCTTGTGTATTTTAATGGGAGATTACTTGCTATGTCGGAGGATGACTTGCCATACCACGTGAAAATCAACGGTGGTGATGATTTGGAGACGGTCGGACGGTTCGATTTCGACGGGCAGGTGAATCGCCCGTTGATTGCACACCCTAAGGTGGACCCTGACACGGGTGATCTTCATACACTTAGCTACGACGTCCTAAGTAAGCCGTATTTGAAGTACTTTAGGTTTGATAAGCGGGGCCAGAAGTTACGTGAAGTACCCGTGTCGCTTCCTCAACCTACTATGATTCATGACTTTGCCTTGACTCAAAATTTCGTAGTCATACCGGATAATCAAGTTGTGTTTAAATTATCCGAGATGGTTCGGGGCGGGTCGCCCCTAATGTTCGATCCGAATAAGAGGGCTCGGTTCGGGGTCCTCCCGAAGGACGATACCACCGGGTCAAAGATCCAATGGATTGAGGTTCCAAATAGCTTTTGTTTCCATTTTATGAATGCATGGGAGGAAAATGAGGGAAAACATGTGGTCATACTTGGGTCATGCATGAGCCCACCCGATTCGATCTTCAACGATAGTAATGACCCGATCCAAATTGAACTATCCGAGATTCGACTAGACCTTGAGACGGGTAAATCAACCCGACGGGTGATAGTTTCGGGTGTAAATTTAGAAATAGGACAAGTAAATAAGCGTTTGTTAGGGAAAAAGACGCGGTACGTGTACATGGCAATCGCAGAGCCGTGGCCTAAATGTGGTGGCATAGCCAAGGTTGATGTTACAACCGGTGAAATGACTAAGTTTATCTATGGATATGAGAGATATGGTGGGGAACCATGCTTTGTACCCGCTAAGAAAACGAGTACATCTTCTAATAATCACGAGTTAGGAGAAGTTAATTACAATTTAGGTGATGTTAATGTTGATTTAGGTGAAGTTGATTGTGTTAGCGATGATGATTGTGAAGATGAAGGGTGGATAATGAGCTTTGTGAGGGATGAAAATGTGGAGAGGTCGGAATTGGTAATATTGAGGGCAAAGGATATGAAGCAAATTGCAAGTGTATGCATGCCTTCAAGGGTTCCTTATGGTTTCCATGGCACTTTTGTTGACCAAAATGAATTAAGTGTACAAAGAAATTAATGATTGATTAGTGATTAGATATTTCAACATTATTTAACTTTTAATTAGAATCTTATCATGGTTGTTTTAGCTAGTGCATATAAATGTGAATGTCCTTAATTAGAAGGCAAACAATTTTCATGAACAATGATTCCTTTTATAAATTAGTAAGCAAACATGTTTTGCATTAATCTGATTCCTTTTGTTGACGATTCCAATGGCAAATGCAAAACATGAAAACATATAATGGCTACTAAGGTTACTTGGCAGTCTTTATTCAAAGAGTTTCGAAGCCACTCGAATACTCGATCTTATACATAGGTCATTAGGTTGTGATATGGGATTAAACGATCCGAGGATTTTGTGTAAGTGGGCTAGTCTTAAAATTTGGTACGGGCATGAACACGAGATTAATTGTGTTGCAAAGAACGCATGACATGTTTAATGGGTAGATAATATTGGAAAGTTTTCAAATGATAATTGTTCCCTCCTCTCCTATTGGATAACAAACCCAATCTCTTATATACCTCGAAGTTAAAATTGTGTTGCAAAGAATGTATGGCATGCTTGATCTTCCTGATACCTAGTGACCCTTAATCGTTAGTGCTATTAGTTCTCTTTGTCTCCCGAAGACCTATTTACAAGCCTTGATACCGCTAAGCTAAGGGGCTTACTTGTACGTGCCGAAAAGGCTAGAAGCCATTCCTTGACTCATACAAAGTATTTGTTATATGTGGTCGATGAATTGTTCCTTTAATATTGCTGAATATGCTGATCACTTCATAACTTTTTTCCCAGCAAAAATAAAATAAAATAAAAATAAAAACGACTATACAGAACTCCTAACAATATTGGGCCAGAGTCTGGACTGCATTGATTGGGCCTGGTCCATGTAGTCCAACACACTCAATGCAAAAAAGCTACTAACACAAGATTCCAAGGCCAATTGCATAAGTCAACGAGATAATAGTACTAATTAAGCTTGTACTCTATAGTCCATATGTGTTAGCAACTTAGCAGGTGATAAACGGATGTAAAGAGTCGTTCAAAAAAAAAAAAAAAAAAAAAAAAAAAAAACAGATGTAAAGAGGAGTTTCCTACAACGGCTACAATAATCTTTTTGTCAATTGTGGAATACTGCAATAATCTTAGGGGTGGATTTAAAAAATTTTAATTACGAAGTACATAAAATGATAATTTAGTATGCTTTAGCCACAACTTGCACCATCTATATATTTGTTCTACATACACTTGTACTAAAGATACATCTTATTAACGTGATTTAACTTAGCTAAACTTATTTGAATTTATTATTTAAAATATTAATTGAAGTTGATGTTGCTAACTCTCATTTAAACTTATTATTATTATTATTATTATTATTATTATTATTATTATTATTATTATAACAAGCTAAGATGTACACGCTATGTGTGTACCATATAAGAAATTAGAATGAAAAAAAAAAAATAACCAACGCCCGCCATCAAACTAGAATCATTTCTCGAAAAAAAAAACAGTCATGTTTATTAAGAGTTGTGAAACTAATAATACAGATAAAATATTTACTAAAAGCATGAGAAAGAAAGAAGAACAAAAAAAAAACATAAATGAGCAAACTTAGAAGGAGTTTATGTGTAAGAAATGGAGCAGTTATTATAGAGTAGTTATAATAGGTAATTTTTAATTTTTTTTTTTTTTAATTTTTAATTGTAGATAAGAGAGGTAATTTTGCAAATTGAGAAGGGCATTTTGTAAAAAAGCCGAGATACAATATGAGCCCCCACTCCTCTAGCTATAACAAAGCTTATCCTAGTAAAATTATGAGCAGCAGCACGCGCCCTAAAGTCGTAAGTCGTCGAGAACTTCTGAACTCGCTTTAACAATGCAATAGCCTCCTTCCCTAATTCCCCAAGAGAACAAAAGGAGAAGGAAAGGAAACCATATCCAATTACCTCACAGCTAGATTTATACTTGACCCACTTTCGATGAGCCACATCAGCACAACCCGTCTAGGAACAAAGTCAGATAGCTCAGACCGTGTCAAAAGAGAAGATCCTGTCAAGTCAACACACACATCGCGACCATGATCCCATGAATAAAGTAACATATCTGTAGGTCTGAGGGCCCCGTCGTTCCTTCTAGACAACCCAATGCCAACCTCTTTTCTTGCTAAAATCCCAGACCGATAGCAAACATCAACAAGGATATCGAACAACATTATTATGCCGATGTATAATACCCACAATACCTGTACATGACACCGCGTGATCACTGAAAATTTCCCCAGTCGAAACCCTCGAATAAGCAGAGCACGACGTCGAGATAAAGAACAAAGGAACACCCAACTTGTAGCACAACACACATCAGTAAGTCTTTGCGTTCATTGTCTAACCCAACCTTGAAATAGGGATTGCCCGAAGCCAAGCCGAAGTGTGATCGCCCTGCCGTGACTTCCACAGACTGTTGAGGAGATAAAGAAAAAGTGGACTCTATAGAAGTGGTAACCTTTGTGAAATATATATCTGCCAATTTTTTCATGAGTTTAGAGGCAGCGACCTCACTAGGGTTACTTAAAAAGTCAGACTCCACAGTTCCATTAAATAGAGAATATCAATGCTATATGATTGACCATGAACTTTCTTACCTCAGTTTCTTAAACTGGCCCTAGAGCCCACGCTTTTGGCCTGTGTCGTTTGGTTCGCAGCTCTAGCCTAATCGCGAGGATAAGTCGGCAGCTCAACACATCTTCAAAGGATTGACCAAGACCAACAATGTTAGCTCGCCGTAGAAGCTTTGTTTGCAAACCAGTAGACTGTAAACGAGAAGCAAGAAAAGCATAATGATGAACATCACCTGCAAAATAAACAGCAAGCCCTCTAAATGCAAAAGGTAAGTTGGCTAGTTGCCACTACCAATCGCCAAACTCAGGCCTCGAAGCAGTAACAATACGCTCCAAGGAAGATCGAAAAGCCCCATCGAATGTGCACTGAGCCGCCTCAAAAGTGTTAGGAGGACAACTACGCAAAGCAAAGTAGAGCATAGAAACTTCGATCCATGCCCTAAGCAACAACAACTCACACTGAGGATCATCAAGCTTAGTAACCTTATTATAAGTACAATGGTCTTGGTCACCCTTTGCATCACAAGCTTACCACTAAAAACTAAATTGGAAGTAGCAGAACCACCAAGCAATTTCACACCATGCAAAGGTCGAGCAATATTAGGGGGAAAGACACCCACAAACCTGCTTCGAGGGTCTTCTGTAGGCCAGAAAACCTCAGCTTTTTCCACGTTGAGATGTAACCCAAAACGAGGCCCTTCCTCCATAATCAACTGCAAAACTTTCCCCACCACCAAAGTGTCACCAATAATAGTGTCGTCATCCACATACCACGCCTGAAGACAGACATCAAAAGCGTCTCTGATTTTACACACCAGGGATTGTAAAACCAAAGCAAAAAGCAGTGGACCAAGGGGATCACCTTGCTGCATCCACTGAGACGACCATAAGGTGTGCTCCCCATAATACAATCTGGCTGGATTAGGATAGCATAATTCAACCCATCGTGAAATGCCCGGACAACGAAGATCAACTTCACGTAACATGACCGCACGATCAACTAAATTGAAGGCATTTTGAAATTCCGCCAACAACATTATTATTATTATTATTATTATTATTATTATTATTATTATTTGAATTTTTTTTGGTGAATCTTATTTGAACTTATTGATTCTTATGTAAACTTATTATTATTTTCTTTATATAGCTTAGATGAAGTGAACATATTGTGCAAGATCAAAGGTCGGCAATTTTGACCTTTATTAAGGTCCTATCTTGTTCACCTTAGTTTCAATTATTTCATATTTAATATCGTAAATTCAAATAAGATAAGGAAAAATTTGATAAAGATTGATAAGGGCTACTCAAGTTTAAATTACAACCAAAATAAGATTTAATAAGTTCAAATAAATTCAAGTAAGTTCAGGTAAATTCTGATAAATTAATTCAAGTAAGTTAAAATTAGGTTGATAAAACAAACCCTAAATATAATGATATTAGAGTTTAACCACAAAAGTCAAATATTTTATGGCATTATGTTTTTCTTTTTTGATTTTCTTATTTTGTTTGCAAATAAACCTAACTAGGGGTGAAACAAATTCGGTTTAAAACCAAACCGAACCGAAAACCTAACCGAATAACAAATATGGTTTGGTTTTTTTTTAAGGTGGTTTGGTTTCGGTTTTGAAAAAAAAAAAAAATCGGTTTTTGGTTCGGTTTCGGTTTGAGAAAGTGAAAAACCGAAAAAACCGAGCCAAACCGAAATATAGGCCCAAACCCAAAAAATAACCCTAGCCCAACAGATTTACCCTAAGTATATAAATGAAAAAAAAACCCTAATTCTCTCATTTCCTCTTCTCTCTTCTCCGCGGCTCCACGCTTCACCCTTCTCTCCTCTTCTGATCTTCTCAGTCTTCTCACTCACTCTCCTTTCCTCTTCTCAAGTTCTCAGTTCTTAGTTCTCACTTCTCCCCCTTCACTCTTTCTCCTTTTCTCTTCTCACTTCTCCACCTTCCATTCGCATCACCATCGACTAACCTTTCGAGGATTTTCGAACTCCATCAAGGGCATCAACTAAAGGGCTTTCATGTCAAATTCGACCATGAAAACACTAGATCTAGTGTTTTCATGGTCTAATTAGACTTTGAAACCCAAATTTGAGGAAAGGGCCGTTGTGTAGGGGTTTGGTATGACTGCTCTTTTGCAATTCTGCTGCTGTTCTTGTTAAAAACTTGTTCAATTATGTTGTTAAAACTTGTTTGTATGAATTGGTTGGTTTGATTTTGTTACTTTGTTGTTAAAAATTGTGTAATTATGTGTATGGATTGGTTTTGATTTGATTTTGTTAAAAGTTGAAACTTGTTGAATTAGAAGTTTTAGAACTTGTTAATGATATTATGCTACTACAATACTGCTTTGTTGATGAATGAGGCCAAAAAAATTGCAGATTATTGGCCCAAATAAATTAGGCCCAAAAAATTCGGTTTGGTTCGGTTTCTTATTATGAAACCGAAATGAATATGGTTTGGTTTGGTTCGGATTCTAAAGTAAAGTGGTGCGGTGTGGTTTTAACAAATACAGAAACCGAATTAAAGTGGTTCGGTTTCGGTTTGGGCAAAAAACCAAACTGAAAACCGAACTTTCACCCCTAAACCTAACCACTTTGCTGTGCTATAACTTATAGCTTATAACTAACATTTCTTCTATACATTGCCAATCATTTAACCTCTTGCATTGCTTTCTTCATAAAGCTATCCTTATAATATGAAAGGGACATATACATTATTATTTGATTTATTTCAATCTGATTTGATCTAACTTAGATTAATTATCACAAAGAAAGTATTAAGAAACCTCTCCAATTTTATTAAAGAAACCTCTCCAATTTTATTAAAGAAACCTCCAATTTGATGGTAGTACAAAACCACCTTTATAAAAGAAACCTCCAATTTGTAGAGTGGTTGTATCTTTAATTGTAATATTCTCAGCTACACATATTAGAATGACACGTTGATCATCACCTGCAATTGCACACATCTAATTATGTGGGGTGCCTGGGTCAAAAAAAAAATATGTGAGGTGCCAAAAACTAAAGGACCTAAGCTGCGGGGTACAATAATTAGAGGCTGTGTTTTTCAAAAACTGATTTACCCAATATTCCGTATTAATTATTAGTGATAGATAGATTTAGACGTTACGCTTTATAAAAATTCATAATTCTACACCATAATTTCTTCTAAAGTATTAGGACTTCTTATTCAATTCCCTCCGGTGAGGGGTTTCCAACAATCATACTTTCTCTATTTATTTTTTGGAAAAATTGTCCAAAATAATCCTATTTTTGGAGCGTCCGCTAAAAATAATCCCATCTTTGGATTATTTTAAAATAATCCCATCTTTACCCGCCGATCTTTATCAATGGTCCCATTTTATTTGGAACCGGTTGAGTAGGTAATTTTTTTTTTAAAGTTTAATTTACATGTGTCGCTACTTGATTGGTCAAAAACTAAAAAAAAAGTAGTAAAAAAACCACCACCACCACCTAAGCCACACCAATTCAGCCACCACCATCCCCACCACCACCCAAACCCAAACCCTAGAACCACCATCCCACCCAGACCCCAAAACCACCACCACAACGCTAACTGAAATCCCACCCTGCTAACCCAACCCCAAAACCCCATTAACCCATTAACTCAAGACCATTGGAAAACCCACCAAACCAATTCCGAAACTGGGTTCGACACAGAATTGGGGCAGGGGATTTCGACGTAGCTGGAATCGAGGGACGGGGGAGGTCGGCGCGGTCGGAATTGGGGAACGGAAGATGGGGAGGTCGACGAGACCGGAATCGGGGGATGGGGGTGGTCAGCGAGGTCGAAATCGGGGGATAGTGGTGGTCAGCAAGGCCGGTGCTTTCCAATGCCTGGGTTTTCGTGGGGGAGGGAGGGGGTTGGTGGTTCAGGGGAGGGGGAGGGGGGTCGGTCGCGTGTCGTAGCTAGCGCTGGGGTTGGGGGTTGGTTGGCCGGAGTCACGTGGCAGGAGACTTTGGTGGCGGGGACGACGGTGGCTTTGGCGGTGGGTGGTTTTTTGAATATTAATTTTTTTATTTTTATTTTTTCTTTAAACAAAAATTTTAACTTTTTTAAAAAATTTATTATTTTTATTTTTTTTGGCCAATCACATATCGCCAATAAGTTACATGATCGGTTAGGACCATTTTTGAGCGGATTGGGTATAAAGGACGGATTATTTAAAAATAACCCAATGGTGGGATTATTTTTAGTGGACGCCCCAAAGGTGAGATTATTCCGGGCAATTTTTTTTTTTTTTTTTTTACTTATAAAAGGTACTTCGTCCGTTTCTTTTTAGTTGATATTTGACACGTTTCTTTAGCCACGTGTGCCAATGCACAACTTTAACCATTAATATCTTTAATTAAAGATAAACAAAAATTATGAAAAGTTGATATTTTGAAAATATATATCATGACGAATCTAACAAGATCCCATATGACTAGGTAGTAAGTAGTATTAGAGTCTTCTTTATACTTTAAACTTTAGATCATGAATTCAAATCTCATCTTTTATGAAGTTTGGATTTTTTTTGTTTTCCAAACTTATTATTATTGCCATTCCTTTCAAAGTTTTGATAAACGGGCCTAAACGACACCCGTCACGAGTGTCCACTTTATACGACCAAGGAGGTTCCACTTCAAAACCATTTGGCAATGAGAGGAGTAGCCCCCTAGCCATATAAAGTGTACATAACTTTCTTGTTTCCTTAATGTGGGATACACTTTCCAATACTTTACACTCTTTTAATGTGGGACAACACTTTGACTCACATGTGGGTTTGTTCATGGGGTCAATAAATTTCTCCATAACTTAATATATCAAAAATATTGATTGTATTAGAGATTACTTAGCTTGTTTGACCAAGTTTGGAGGTTGACATTTTTTTTATTCTACTTAGCATTACGAGAGTACAATGGTTCTTTTTTAGTTTTACCTCTTATACTAGGCGTAATGGTGTTACTTTATATCATTTGAGTTTATAAATATGAATAATAGTTTGATTGAAAATACTTGCTGAGGAACTCGAGAAAGGACCATCGAGTGATCTTCGACCTAGTTCCCACACACAAAGGAAAGAAAAGCATAATTCATATGGATCCTCTCTCATGTTTAATCTTCTTTTAGCGGTTCTTCTAGAGATGGGTTCAGATCTTCTTCATTATATAGTATCATTTGTGGGTCGGTGTTCACAATTTGTCGTTTAATAATTTGTAAACTAATACAAAGTATCTTTTAATTTGATAACAACTATTAGGATTGGGGAGTAACACATTAAGTGAATGCCACCTAACTAGCCCCCACACACTAAGGTATGAGCTAGCTCTCATTGGGCCATATTCGTTCCTTGGGCTCTTGTGAGATCCCCTTACTTTCATCCATACAGTTAACTTCACAAGCTTACTATAAAAATTTTATAATATCATTAAGTTTGTATCCAAAAAAAACTTTTATAAATACATAAATAATACTTTGTATTGTTTTATTAATGATGTACAATGAGTAACATCTATATCAAAGTTACATATTGAAAATCAAATAAAACTATCACTTATAACAGGATGCATGGCACTATAAATTCCAATTGCCCTCTCCCCTTCCCAAAATAGGAAAAAAATGTTGAATCTCCATATAAATCAGAAGATTCAATCTGTAAATTGAAAATAAATAACGGCAACCAATTCAGTCTTGAAAACCAATAGGTCACACGTTCAAATCCCCCTCCCCCATATTTAATTTCTGTGACTTTCAAATCGGAAAAAATATAAGTACATATTTGTACGGCATCAAAGAAATTTGCACAAGACACTTTTGAAGAGATGTTGAGCAATAACTTGGTTAGTTTTCTCAGTTGGGTGGAAAGAATCCCAGAAAACATATTTGTCAGCATTAGAGCAGGAGTATGAACTATCTAGAACACAAAGATAACTCATCTCCACCAATCCAGTGCCACAGCATGCTTTAGATGTCTCATCCATCCCTGTCATTTAATCAACTCTCATTTTGTCAATCAACTACCCTATTAATATTCACTACAACAAATGCTATCATACATTTCAAAATCATTATATTAATGAGCATTTTTGAAAGCAATCACTCTAGCAATAGCTACTTGTAGTAGAAGGAATGATAATTAAGAAAATCTACCCGATTTGACAACTTTTTCAATCCCATTGATGTATTTAGTATCATCTGATCTGTCGATATTTTAAATATTTGGAAGGGTCTTTTGGGGCAGTCTAACCTTTATAGAAACATAGAGCTGAGATTAAAATACAAAGTACTACGTAAGACTGTAAGAGTGTATAATAACTTACTAGTCACCACTCTTTTCCATAAGAATTGAAGTTTTTCTTTGTTTTTTTTTTCTTTTGTGAATTTGACTTTTATATTCTGTATAAACTTCGTTTTAAGACTATCCAAAATTAAAATTGAAATAATAGACCATATTTAATATTTTGAAAATGATAAGATATCTTTCTATAATACTTAGGGGACATATTTCATTTGGCAATTCAATCCACCCACTTAGACATTATTGTCATTTGTCTCCCCATAAAAGAAAATTGGCCCTATATAGACTTTTCTTAATTATTATTTTCTTATTTCTTTGGGTGCAATGTCATAAAAACACTATTAACACTCAACTAAACTATACCTACTCGAAAAATCATTAAAATCTAATCCTAACAAGGTCATTTATACGCATCCAAAAGTAGGAAAAAAACCCCATCAAAAATAAGTAGGCTAATAAAATTAATTAAATAATCATAAAGAATTCTAATTAAAAATGTAATAAGGAAATGAAATCCTAGCTAAAAGTAATCTTACCAAATATTGTAGGCCTTTTAATCATTTGGCGAAGGACGTTATAAGGGTTAGAAAAAACAACTTGTATTCCAGGCAATTCCTTGTTGAGTTGGTTTACCAAGTTGTTCATTTTAACATTAAATTCAGCGGCCACATTGTTGTACTCTTCGTTGCATTGTGCTATTGCCCCAAAATTCATGGTTCTCTCTAGTGGCAAGCAACCCATGGGAGGAATGCCGGCCAACGAGATCTTTCGAGCACCAAGATTATAAATCTCCCCCACAAATTGCTTCGCGATGTCTATGAGGTGATCCTCAAACGCTTGAATCGTGTAGCACAACCTCGTCGTGGGTAGTAAGTAGTAATTCTCTAGGAAATCATTTGTTCCCATGCTTGTTAAGTACATTGCCTCGGATATGATCTCATTTGCCTTTTGCACTCCAAGATAGCTTCGTAATCTTTCTTGGTACTCCTTGTAATAATCAACTTCCTTCCACAATGGTATCACATTCTGTGATGAAAACAAGTTTGCATTAAGTAAGCAAAACATGAGTCCATTTTTACTTCATCGCATCGCAAATTTAGTAATTGCCTAACAGTCACTTAGGTAACAAATTAAAGGATAAGAATATGTCAATGTCGTCTTTATAAGAGTCCAACTACATTTTGCACAAAACGTGTACGTAGAAAATATTCACCAATGCTACATATGAAAGTTTTTCACTTTTTTTACAACAATAAAAAAGGTCATCAGTCCAATTTTAGTACTTTGTGATAGCAATTAATCAATACACAAAAAAGTTGTAGGATTACAAGATGAAAGTATACTAAATCACGAAAAATATAGTCAAAAGGTAGGAGAGACTGCACACCCAATAAATTTGTTGTAACAAAAAGCAAACAATTTAATGAGAAACAAGATAAAGTAAAATTAAGTTAGTGACATTTGGGAACTCTAATATTTGGCAGGGTAAAGTTTTTATGTACACTCCAAGTTGAGTTATTAGTCTTATGACTATAAGCGGTGATAGATAGGTGAACGTTGAATGCCAATAACTTCAAATAGTTTGTTGGAACCTTCGAAAGTGGGTCCACAACACTTGTAAATAAAAAAGAAAATAGACAAACCTACCTAAGTTTTAATCCAACAAGTTTTTAATATCATAGAAATATAAAAACATAAATAATAATATTTACGACCACTCTTTTTATTCGAGAAAAAACACTCTTCTTATTGTTTACTTTATAAAAATAAAAAGGTTTCATCTTACATTATACTAAATCTCTTTTTTTTCATTACTTAATAAGGTAATTCATTTATTGATTCCTAAAATTGTGACATGAGATCATTAGATGTTGTTAATGATTATTATTATTATTTCCTCTGTCTTTATTTATCCTTCCTATCTATTACTTTTTATTTATCAATCTATCAAAAGCTTTCAAATAAGAAGAACAAATAGAGACAGACAAATATATATACACCATACTTTTAAATTATGCAACTTTCGGCTTTAAATTAAAAGGCGGCCCAAAATAGATGTTTCAACTACTCATATTGGCTCTACTACCTATGCACCAAATAAAGTTGGCTATATTACTCATATAGGCTATGGTCATAAATCATTTTATTCATGCTTATACTTTTAATGAACCTACAACGTAGAAGCAAGAAGATCACATAGTTACTAAAACTATCCGTTAAATACAAAATAGCCGTACAATTACCCACGAGAAAACCGTGGGGGACCCTGAAAACAAAAGTCCATATTATTACAACATTTAATATGGTGTAACTTACTTGTAAGTTTATGAATCAGAATAAATAATTGCTAACATAAATTTTTTTTTTTAAAAAAAAGAGAGAGAGATTTTACATTATTTATTATTGTGTACTTATGACTTTTTTTTCTTAATTTATTATCATTTCATCAATCATCATTTAATCTGGACTTTCTGATTTCATATTATCTTATATTCGATATTCTGTATCATTCTGTAATTTTATATATACACACGTAGTTGAGTTAAAGTACTGAGATACGATATTTTTAAGCCTTCTAAAAATACGTACGTATACTATGTAATTTACTACGTAATTTATTACATGACATTTAATATGAAATAGAAGGATTGTTTTTATAAGAATTGTACAAAATAAATAAAAATAAAAATTGAAAGATTGATGTTATGATAAAAAGAAAGGATTAGTAATGGTACTTACAAGCACCGAAGAAGTGGTATTATCATACCCGGTACCAGCAGAAGCAAAATTGACTCCAGTAGCAAAATCCGATATATTGTAATTCGGATCCAAGTAGGCCGGGACAGTTTTCTTGAGTCCAAAGTATTCGGAGAAGAAATCCACAGGCACCCGCCCATTAGAGAATCGACCCGTGGGTCGACCGCCATCGAAGTCCCGACCATACGGGGCAAAGTTGCTCTTAAGCAATGTTTTTATCCCATTGTTGTTCCCCGTGTCAACTGAGGAGTCTCCGAATACTATCACGGCCGGTACCTTACCACCGGCTACGACGTAAACTCGTCCCAAGAAGAAGAAGAAGAAAGAGAGGTACCAAATGTGGCATATGGTCTTGGCCATTGTAATGTTTTTTTGTTGTTTTTTTTTTTTTCTTTTGGTAGTAATATATAATGTAAGTACGTACGTTTAATAGTACGTGAAGTTTAAGGATTAAAAAATGGGAACAAAGTGAACACGAAATGAATTGAAGCTTGGTGTATATATATATATATATATATATATATATATATATACTATTATAACGTGGGGATATTGTGTTAATGTGATTGAAATTAATTAAAGAGTTGGAAGTGTTTGATAGGAGTTGATAAAAAGTCTGTTGGTTGGGTTGGTATTAATTGTATTGATTTTTTACTTTTTTGCAATCCAATTTTTCTTTGAGGAAGGTTGTACCAAGAGGAGCATTTCGTCTAGACATCACGAAAATGAATCATAATTATTTACTCGAGTTGAAATTACTTAACAAAAACACGAATTGAACAATAATATTGACAATTATGTTTCTCAAAGCCCGACCTCACAACAAATTAAATGACAAATAACCTGATTCAAATTTAATGAGTTGAACATTGATTTGGTTAATTTCATTAATTATCATGATATGAAAACTAATTAACAATAGCCTGAATAATATAATTGATCCAATTCAAATGACCTGACATATTCGTCGGGTTTGATTTAGATTGAACTTGTACAGTACTTGAAGACAAATTTTGGTTTTATTCAAGTCTAACTAATAATTCAATTCATATGCAAGCGATGGGTGCACATAATTTTCTTAGAACATGTAATAATAGTATAAGAAAAAGGATGGTAATTTGCTTAATGAAGTACACCTATAAAAACTAGTATGTATGAACATTTGATTTTTATAAACTGATAAGGGTAACAAGAAAACAACACATGTTTTGGGGTTTTTTGTGTCCCTCGGGAGAGTTACTATTCCTAGACTGGATTCCGAGCGCCTGTACCTGCAAAACAACAGAGACTCCGGTTGGGTGGAATTCCGCCTCCGACGATAAAATTAGAACGTGTTCGGATAATGTAAGAAGTGCGGAAAGTAAAGTTTCTTCTCGGATTCCAAGATCGAGGGTATTCTCTGAGGTGAGAGGTAAATATCTGCAATTAATGATTGCTCTGTTTTTTGTGAATGTTTGTGAATATCCTCCCCTGGTGGGAATATCTCCCTATTTATAAGGTCTTGGAAATTGCGTCGTTTTTCTAGGTTACAGAAACCTAGGAATTGTGGGCTATCTCGGGAATTGGGCCTTGAAGACCGTCTTTTTCCCAATCATTGGGGATGCCACGTGTCAGCAGAGGAGAGGTTCATTTTGAACCTCTCTAACGTGTCACCATCTTATTGGGCCATGTGGCCTTGGATATTTTTACCCAAAACAAAACACATGCATCAAAGAAAAAATATCTACTACTCCCTCTTTTCCTTTTTATTGGTTACATTTTGACTTTACACGTTTGTCAATGCACTTATTTGACCATTACTCCCTCTGTCCCAAAATAACTGACACAATCAACTTTTGCACACATGCCGATGCACTAGTTGGACCTTATTTTTATATAATTAAATATTAATAAAAATTATAATATAATAAAAGTTATATTATTAAACTTTATATTAATACCTATCTAACAACATATTTTGTGAAAAATAATATTTTTATTATGTTAGTAAAAAACTATAGTCAAAATAATATATGAATAGTAAAGAAAAAAGGCCAACGTCTAAGTTATTCTGAGACGGAGGAGTAATATCGTTAGTTTCATATACTTGTAAAACTAATAACAATTAAATATTAATAAACAAACCCTCCCACATACTATATTATGTCTTATATTTTGAAAATAAATTAGAAGATTCTCTCATATGAATAGTGTCAAAAAACTGAACTAACGTAACCAGTTAAAGGAAAAGAGCGAGTAGTATATGTAAGAAAAGTATATGTAAGCTAAGTTACCTTCTAAATTTTTGTAGGGCACTAATAATTTTCATGGAATAAGAAAGGGACTGCATTTTATGCTTATATCACTTTTATAGTTTTATCCATTATCATTGTATTTTTTTTTTTCAAGTATAGAATATTGAATTTTAGTGAAATTTGTATAATATACTAGGGTGCACCATGCTCATGGTGCACCTAATGATGTGGCGTAACTAAATTGTTGGAATCAAATTTTTGGAAAAAATAAAAAATTCTAGCTTAATTACAGGGAGTTTTTTCCGTTTAAATATCTTTCAGTTTTTTATAATTATTCTTAATTGACATTTTCCATTTTTTAAACATTTTAGAGAGAGAAAACTACAGAGATCCTAAAATTTTAGAGAGAGAAAATTACAGAGAGAGAAAAATACTGAGAGAATTTGTCGACTGATCGATAGAATTCTCTGTAGAAGAAGTTAATAATGGTTTATCAATCCAAATTTCGCCATGATTCTGATGCTAGATTTGTTGGTGATGATGATGATGATATCAACAATGAAGGTGAATTCGAGGATATCGTAAACGAAAATGAAGGTAAATTGGTTAATCGATTATCTTTTCATTTGTTAATTTGTGGATTATTTTGTAATCAAAGAAAATTGGTGTTTTTGTTTTTTTTTTTTCAAAGGTTAAAGATGATGTATGTTCTTCTGATTATGATGAATGTTCCTTTATCACACATTCAATTTGTTAATTGTAATGGAATATGTTCTTAAGCCCGATTAATATATTCTTTGAATCTAAACTATATTTCTTTACATTACAAATCATGTTCTTTAATTTAAGGTATACTGTTCTTTGTCTTTTAATAATATAAACTATGTTCTTTTTACTTGAATAATATGTTCTTCTATGTTCATGTTCGTTTGTTTTAACTCTTATGTTCTTTTGGGTATTGAGTGATATAGCACATATTATTTTAAAATTAGTTTTTACGTCATTTTTAATTATTAAACTATCCATCTTCAATATTATTTATTAAATTTATATTTTTTTATGTTAATAACATTAAATAAGTGTGTACATTTTTTTTTAGGATCACGATGGTCGATGGGGATATTCTTTTTGGACATCATATATTGATGATTGGTTTTCAGATCCAAAGAACATCTATACCATTTATAAAGAACATGATTATATTATGTAATAAGCACTACTTAATTAAAATATTTAAATTTAACAAGGATGGTGCAAACAAAAATTTAAAGAACATTTTCACAATAAGCAATGGATATTATGTGACAATAAATGTACATTACAATTACAGTTAGAGAACATGGACATTTAAAATATTTTATCAAAAGATCTAATAAAGATCATAATTAATAGTGGACATATGGAAGAAAAATAGTGCTAATAATCAATTGTACTTTACATACAAAAATAAAGTATATCATATTTTCTGATAAAGAACATTATAAAAATATATATAAAGAACATTACAAGAATTACACATGACCATTATTATTATAACGAATATTATTATAATTACATAAAAAAAAAATTGTTGAAAGAATATGATTGATTTTGGTAGAGATTTTAAATTTAAGAAAATCAAATAAAAAATTGGTAACTGAAATTTTAAATATGAAAATGAATTTTTGTATTTGAATTTTGAATTTGAATTTTAAAAATAAAATCTTGAAATATTTTGAAGAAAATAATTTGGAAAAAAAAATTATTCTGGAATCTTAATTTTTTTTGAAAAGATTGTATCAATTAATGTGGGATTCGGTTGATTCCTTTTCGAAATTTAATGAATATACCTAAAAATCTCGCGTTTTTCCTATTTCTACACAATGTTCATTGTTTTTATTTTTTTATTTTGAGGTTTTAATGCGGCCTGCGTTTAATTAAGAAAAGGGTGTTGTTTTGCGCCGGGTGCACCATGCTCATGGTGCAACCGGGTGTAGGAATCAGGAATTAAATTTTAGAATAGGTAAATTCTTTTTTTATTTTGAACTTTATTAATAGGAAAATATAATACTTTTACATGTAACAATTGTAGGGAGTAGATTTTTTGGAGAAAGAATGGTTTAAGAGGTTTTGACAAAATAGAGATAGAGAGAATAGAATGGCTTTGTATTGCTTGATTGTTCTTCATTAATAGGTTGAGTACGTATTTATACAAGACACCTGGGATAACCGGTCACCTAGGCCCAACTTCCGTGGGAAGCCCAATCAGCCCAAGGTTAACCTAAACCTAGATTGGCACGTTTCCCGAGGTTATAAATACCTCCCTTAATCCTCATTAAGGGAGATTACGCAGATTACACACATTAAACTCTCTCACCTAGAGAGACCCAATCACTTTAATTTCCGCATTAATTACTCCTTAATCAAGTACTAACTTGACCGTCGGAGGCGGATCTCCAATCATCCGGAGCATCCGTTTGTTTTGCAGGTACAGGCGTCCGGTTCCAGTCTCGGAATTGTAACTCTCCCGCAGGACATCAGAAAACCCCGAAACATCTTGGCGCCGTCTGTGGGGAGAGTACTTCTGAGATGGCATCCACGTTTGTACCGGCTCCTGAAGAGAGACGTCCCCTGGACGACCCTCTAGTTCAATCGAACCACGATACTGAGAATGAATTTGAAGTTGAAGCTCACATAGCTTCAGACGGGACCCTAAGGGCCCGACGTACCCGTCATACCGAAAGGAGGGAGCGGGAACATCTTCAAACTGGAAGCAAGCCAGCAGGCGCACCGCCTGTTCGGCAGCAGCCGACTGATGGGTCTGCTCTCATCACAAGGAACGAACTCATGACCTTCATGAGGGACTTCAAGGGAGAAATTCAAGAATTGATCAACAAGAAGCCGCCTGCTCTGGACAATGAGAAGTCGGCTAAGAAACCCTCCACTTCACGGAAGAGGAAGCCAGTTCAAGGGCGAGAGGCGACCCCTCATCCTAAATCTAGGAAGTGGGAGCCACCTGCCCTTGATTTCACAACATACCGTTTTCCTACTCCAGGAAATAGGAAACCTGTTCGTCATATTCAGGCGGACGGGTCAAGGAAAACATACACAGACGCTCGGCTACTGCTAGAGCAGAAGAAGAGTGACCGATTGTCAGAGTCGGCCTCTACTTCAAACTTCCAAGACAGTCTGCGAAATACCTCGATGAGGCATACTCAGTCGTATCATGAGAGTCAGTCAAGCGGCACCTCCCGTCAGTCCGGCTTTC